AAAGCTACCTGCCCTGTACCAGGATGTAACAAGACACCTCTGTCACCAGAGATGGGGAATTCAGGACAGAGAAGGCTGTATAAACTAAACTTGTACTTTTACTAATTTATTACCTCAGCCCCAACTCTGTTTAGAATTCCTTACTAACTGAAGCTCCTGAACATAAGTTTTCTTTGTCTTATCCATTCCTCACAGGCTTACTGTCTCTCTGTCTAAACAGTATAAAAACTGCCTTGGTCATTTTCTTTGGGTCTCAATTTCATTATTGGGCCTCCACATGCACATAAGTAAACTTTGGGGGGTTTTCCTCCTATTAATCTGTCTTATGTCAATTTAATTCTTAGGCCAGCTGGAAGAGTTTGGAAGGGTTAAGGAAAACTTTTCCTCCCCAACATATCCAAATTAGACATTCATTCATTCATTCAACAAACAAGCAAACAAATGAACAAAAAAACATGTGCTGTGTGGAGTTCCTTTACTAGGTAATGGATGTGTAAACACTAATAGGACATGAATAGACATGTAAAAACCATCACTGCCTCTGCTTAAAATAATTGTCATTTCCTAGCTTAATGATAATGTGATTGAGAATGATTTAGAGTAGTTGGTAGACCACCTGGGTGCAAATCCCAGCTCTGCTGCTCATTGCTGTCAATGGATTCAGGCAACTTATTCAATCCTCTCTGGGCCTTGTTTTGGGTTTTTTGTTATTTGGTTTTTGGGGTTTTTTGTTTTGTTCTGTTTTTTGTGGTTGTTTGTGTTTTTTGTGGTTTTGGGGGGGTTTTTTGTGGTTTTTTGTTTTATGTTTTGTTTTGGTTTTTTGGCCTGTAACATGCGACTAGTAATCATATCTGCCTTCCAAGGATGTTGTGAGAAGCAAATGTATTAACTCACATAAAAAATGGATTTCAAATACTTATGACATAATAATGATAGGTGATGTTGTCACCAGCTGGACACCACGACCTGACCTCTACTGACCATCTGCTTGTACTCACCAACCTTTGTCTTACATTTTGCCTTAAACTCTTCTCTCTGGCTTACGTCTTAGCTGAGGCAAATGAAACCTAAAAATGCACCACAGGAAGTGGAGCCTGCCCTGACGAGACCTCCCTCCAGCCCAAACCACCCATGACCAGTTTGAGCTAAACCCTTCACTTGTGCTTGCACAGATAGACCGTGCAGTGACCTATGGAATGATCCACGATCACCATTACCTCATTATAATACTAAAATCTCTGCCCAAGGAGGAGCCTCAGCCTCATTTACATAACATACTATATACGCACAGACATGTTTCGTTAAGGTGCATGTGTGACCTTATGCCCGCCTCTACATAGATGACAAGGTTTCCCTAAGTATTCATCCTAACCCTAAACAAGAGGAACCCATCTGATCTGTCTCTTGGGGAGTCACAGCTTTGGAACAGATTCCCCATGATCTTCTTATCGGCTACAAATAATGTTTACTTCATGTCACTACTCCACCTGATGTATCTGTGATTCGCCGAGGAATGAGTTCACGTAGGTTCAGCTACAGTATGGAATTGTCTACAATCTCTGGACATGACAGACTCCATTTTGAAGTTCCATTTTCCTTTCTAACAAATGAACTCCTGAACTGGGACAGAAGTTGCAAGTGTTTTACAAGCAGTTGCTCAAAAAATGTCAATAGACCAACTGATATTTGGACCAGATGAGAACAGCAAATTCAATTAGTACATACCAAGGCTATTTCATTTGATAATATCAATAAAATAATCACAAAGTAATCAGAAGCAGCTCAACTGGTCAGCACCAAATTAGCAGGGCTTTTTCCTCTTCTCTTCTTCATCTAAATCATGTAATTACCCTTCCTTCTTTCTCATAAAAACGCCTCACTTTCCCTGAACGAGCAGGACATTCTTCTGGTTACTCCAGGTCTGTGCTTTCCCCAAATTGCAATTCTGAAACCCCAAATAAAGATCTTTGTTCTTTTTCAGTTTCATCTCCTTGATGGTGAGAAACAAGAGAATTGAGAAGTAAGTAATACACACAGTATCAGCATAAAAGACAGAAAAACCTTATGTGTGGGAGAAATTTTATCTTGGGGAAAATGAAGCAAAATATTTAAAAAGGTTTGTTGGAGTGGAAAATTGTAGGAAGTTCTTTTTCTTCTCTTCTTTATCTTGCAAAGATTTTCCCCCAAACATAAAATTTTAATTTATTAATAAATAAATGTCTAATTTTTAAGTGTGTTTTAAGTAAATAGAAACTAGCTTTGCTGACCTATACCTAAAATAATAAAGCTATTTCCTGTTAAGGAGAAAATCAGATTTTTTAAAGGTATACATTCTTTGTACTTGCAGTTCCCCTTAAAGCTGATCATATTGATCCACACTGTACTTTGCTCTAGTCGATACAGGGTACCTAGTGTTTCAGCCTATAGAGAAAGGAAAGGAAAGTGGCTTGAAACTTAATGACATGTAACAGCCTGAATTCCTAATGCAAACTTGGTCAATCTCTGATGCCCCAAAGACCATCTGTCTCCCTTTAATGTCTTGGATAACCATCTATATGTTTCAGATTTATCACTCTGGCCCTAATGCATTTGCCAAACCCATGAATATTTAAATATCTAAAAATGATCACATCAACAGAAAATGTGACAGATTTATAGCTGGGGTTTTTTCCTTTGGTTACCCGTGGCCATGCACTGGTGCTGGAGACTTTGGGGAATTCAAATTAATTTCACGTGGAGGGATGAGGCCTCCCCCAAACCATAGAAGTTTCCTAATAACAACAGCTAGCACTTGTGGAGTGTTTATTATGTCCCGGCCCTAGGCTCTGCTCTGACATAGATTATTTCATTTCATCCTCACGACAGCTCTGTGAGGTATGTCACCCTGCAATATGGTGGTGACACATATAGTTGTTCTTCATCCCAGTTTCTGGCACAGACCTCTCAAACCCTTGGAATTTCCTAAGCGATCAGAGAGCCAGAGAGATGTCTTTTTTTACTCATAACAAGCACTTTTCAGTTACACCTGTTTATGTTAATGAGGTGGCTTTGAAAACCCCTATGGATGGGGGCTGATTGCCAGTGGAACTAATCCTATGACTGGAAGTCTGGAACTTTCAGTCTCACCCCTCAATCTTTGGGGAGGAGAGAGGGACTAGAGATTGACCTAAAATTAATGGCCAGTGATTTAATCAATCGTGTCTATGCAATGAAGCCTCCATAAAACTCCACAAGGATGGAGTTTGGAGCACTTCCGGGTCGGTGAACACCAGGAGGTGCAGGGATGTTGCCTCAAAGAACATGGGATCTCCGCCCTTTCTCCAAATCCTGTCCTGTGCATCTTTTACAACATGTGGTTCCCGAGTTATATCTTTTTAAAATAAACCAGGAATCTAATAAGTAAAATGCTTCCGAGTTCTGTGAGCCACTCCAGGAAATAAATGGAACCTGAGGAGGGGTCATGGAGACACAGATCTGGTTGATTTCAATCCGGACCTTTGACTAGCATCGGAAGTGGGGAAGGGCCATCTTGTAGGACTGAGCCCTTAACCTGTGGGATCTGATGCTATCTCCAAATAGACAGCTGGTATCCAAGGATTGCTTACTTAGCAGCATGGGAAAAACACCCAGTGGGACTTGTATAAGCCTCATTAAGCCCCATTTTATAGGGAAGGAAACTGAAGCTTACACAACTTAAATGGCTTGCTGAAGTCACAGAGCCAGGAGGTGGCACAGCCAGGACTCAGGTATCTTTCTTTCCAGCGCCAAACCTGGCCTTCCTGCAGCAGCAGCCGGGCTGAGGGGGCTTAGTGAAGCCAGGGCATCGCAGCTGCTCTGGGTCCTCCCTTCGTGGTTTCACGGGGGTAACAAGAAGAGTCTGAGCCACAAGACTGTGAACCTGAGGGCTTCTCCACATAGATTCCCATCAGGCCTCTCAGGGTCAAAGAGTCCACTTCCTGGGGTCTTACACATACACACACACACACACACACACACACACACACACAAGCCCCTGTGCTTTTCTTCTCTTCTCTTATAATAGAATATTGCTATCATCCTTCAATGGTGTTGGGGTTTGGGTGTGCAAATAAAGACTAAGGGGCTTATTCCTAACTAGTATACAAATAACTGACTCCTAACCATCAAGTCCAATGGCAGAGTAACAGCATGAAACATATCCAGACAAACGAGTCTCAGCATCAAGGTCAGCCAAAGAAATCCAGACTGGAGGTCTAAGATGGTCAGAGGTGGGCCTAGGAGAAGTGAAGAGAAAACACAATTAGGCAACATGCCCTATAGAACAAATGACCATCTAGGCACAGACGCTTTCTTAAATGTACAACATTACGCTAATACCTTTGTTAGTATTAAGGACTTTTCTAGTCTGAACTTAGTAAATACTGCTTTAGCTAATATACGAACATTCTATGACAGGTGCAGTTTAGCTTTTTTTTCCAAGGTTGTAAGGATAAAAGGATTGGCTGTTCAAGAGCTAAAACTGAAAAACAGATCTTTTCAATTGTCTTCTTTTCAGGAACTGTCTGCTGGGTCTGAGGGAACTTTTTCATGAAACCACCGTGTTCTCTTAGAACAATACGTTAGAGCCAAAAGTTACCTTAAGAGGTAACTCTGCCAAAAGCCTTATTTTCCAAATGAGGAAAGTTGGATGCACTTTTCCAAATTCACTTAGCTAATAAGTGAGGAGCCTCTCAGACAGAATAAATTCAATGTGTTGGCAAATCCGCCTTTCCCTCAACTGCTTCCCTAAGAACTCCACTACAATGAGTCCATTGTTCCTTCAGGAAGTCACTAACAGGGTCATCTTGAAGGGACAACATTCCTCCTCCAAGAGACCTGCTGATTAAGCCCGTAGAGGTCAGACTATCACAACAAAGTGGCTCACACATCTTGCCTCATGTGACTCGGGCACCTCAGAATCTGGAATCTGATTAAACATCTGGGCGTCACACAGCCTGCCTGTGTGACCGCATTACCGACCCCAGGTCTACTCGGTACAGGACAGAGTCCCTGAGCTGGTCTTCAGCATACGCGGGAATACGCAAGGTAATAAATATTCAAGTCAAACGTTTTGGGTTACTCTCAAGAGCAAAGACAAAATGGAGGAAATCCCAAACTTGAAAATCTTTCACTCAAAGAAGTCCAGTCCATCAAGTCAAAGTGGAGGGTCTAAGATGGTCAAAGGGGGACCCATGAGAAATGAGAGAAAATATTAATATGCAGTATTCAGAATGAGAAAGAGAAAAGAACTACTTAGGTAGAGGACACTTTTTAAAGTTTTTTTTCATTTGTTTGTTTCCACCCCTATAACTCTTCATCTTTATCTTCTCCCCAAACATGATATTCATTACATAGGCTCCCTCTTTGTTTCCACATAAATACAAATATGATATTTTCCCAACCACATGGCCTTTGTTGTTCCCCATAGCCTGGACCCATCCATGAATAGACAGCAGTGACTTCTACCACCCTGGCTTGGAGTCCTCGCCTTCCCCCATCCCTGTCACGGGTCATGCGCAGCACTCGTGGCCAGACCCCGCCCTGCCTCCCCCATGCACACATGTGTCCTAAATAACATCCATTACAAGGGAACACGTGAATACACCACTTTTAGCCAAAAGACCTTTGGAAAGTCAGTGCCCCCTCCCTTCTGCACCATCTCCCTCCATGCTGGTGACCTTCCAAAGGCACAAAACTTCAGCCCAGAAAGGAACAGCTCTGATAATGTGTGGGCACTTCTAGAAAGCAAGACAGGGGGCATCTGGGTGGGGGGGTTAAGCATCTGTATCTTAGTTTCTTCTCAGGTCGTGATCTCACAGTTCGTGAGTCTGAGCCCCACATCGGGCTCCATGCTGACAGTGCGGAACTTGCTTGGGATTCTCCCTCTCTCCTCTCTCTCTCTCTGCACCTCCCCTGTTCATACTCTCTCACTCCCTCAAAATAAATAAACCTTGAAACTAAAACAAAATACATTAAAAATAAAGAAAGCAAGAAAGGGGGCTGGAGATGGAAAGGGACCCTGGAAACTTTTGAGCCACACCACAGAAATAACTGCTCTATCTGGCTCTGGCTCCCAGCTGCAGGTGCTCTCACACCCAAATACCCTTCAGGTTTGTCTCCACTGGGGCTCCTCTCTCTCGCCCTTTCTCTGGGAACTTTCCCTCAGTGACATCAGTTTTCTTGAGTTGACCTCACAGGCAGCTATCAGTATCCCGAAAGCAGCATTTGGGGGGCTGAGATCATCTCTTTCATTTGAGCTTTTCAGGTTTTGAACCCCCTTCATGATAGTCGCACCAAGGTAGTTGAGCCCTTTATCAACATTTGGTTTCATCACTGTTACTATAAAGAAAGTAAAACAGTACCTGTGAGTCTTTTAGGTTAGGGAAGAGGAAAGCAGTAGCTTCTACACAGAATGCAGCTTTGTTGGGGGATAAATTAAAAACACACACAGGGACACTTGGGTGACTCAGTTGGTTAAGCCGTTTGACTTTGGCTCTGACTCATCATGATCTCAGAGCTCATGGGTTTGAGCCCTGTGTAGGGCTCTCTGCTGACAGCTCAGAGCCTGGAGCCCGCCTCAGATTCTCTCTCTCTTTCTCTCCCCCCCCACCCCCCGGCCCCACTGCTCGTGCTCTGTCTCACACACACAAAGCTTTCTTGCCAATTCAACATAGATTTCAATGTGTAGCTTATACCTAAGGGTATCTGAAATCAGGGAGTGCCATATTCAAAGTGAATAGGGAGAGCTGTTTCAAATGTTCTGTCTTGACACTTTATCAAGTACAAGACAACAGTGGGTTCTGGAGGATCTACTATGCATTTCTACCATTTTGCAAGTCACTAACCAATCTGGGTTTCAACTTATTCATTCAAAGAAGAAACAGCAATCTAGGGGCGCCTGGGTGGCTCAGTTGGTTAAGCATCTGATCTCATGGTTTATGAGTTCGAACCCCACATCAGGTTCTGTGCTGACAGCTCAGAGCCTGGAGCCTGCTTTGGATTTTGTGTCCTCTCTCTCTGCCCCTCCCATGATCTGTCTCTCTCTCTCTCTCTCTCTCTCTCCTTCTCTCCCTCAAAAATAAATAAACATTTTTAAATTTTTTAATTAAAAAGAAAAAAGGAACAGTAATCCAGATTCAGTTCATTGGAATAGTGGATGGAAAGAGGTGTTAACTATCACTGACAGTGTCCACTGAAATTGTATGCACAGTGTATAAAGCTTTGCTCTTCAACATATTGAGAGATTAAAGAGCCAGTTAAATAATCAAGCTCTGAATTAAGTGCTTTTCATTTGCATTTCCCCCACGGTAATTACCATCATGCCTAAGTATCATAGACTCACGGACTTCCGAGTTGGAAGGCACCTGATGGGTCATCTTAGTACAACTGGCTCAGCAATTCTCTCTGTTCTTGTCTTCTCCTCACATTCGTAAACACCAGAATTTTTGATGGCACACTCAGAAGGCTCAAATGACTCACACCACCACCAAATAAATTAGCAACAATTTTGGTGGGGCTTCCCTTCAGCCTTGCACCTCAATTTGAGTTGAATTCATCTCTGTTTCATCCCGGCTTATCCCAGCTAACACCCAAGCTTTCCTCAGTGTCAGCTGGAAATACCACTTGCCCATGGAAAGCTGTCCCCTCTCATGGCCTTCTGCACAATGGGTTCAGTTCAAAGTCAGCCTGACAGATACTACTCAAGAGTATCTTTCTGACTCGAGCCATGAAATCCACTTATGTATTATCTAGACTGGGCGATAATCCTATGAAGGGTCTGGATACACCAGAGGGCCGTGATACAGTGGTTGAGAAATACCATTCCACTCTAATAAAAATATGAGATGAGAACAGAGAATCCTGAATGGGTTATTAAGAAATCTGATTTCTAGGGGCACCTGGGTGGCTTAGTCGGTTAAGCGTCCGACTTTCGCTTAGATCATGATCTCGCGTTTTGTGGGTTTGAGCCCCGCGTCGGGCTCTGTGCTGACAGTCAGCTCAGAGCCTGGAGCCTGTTTCAGTCTGTGACTCCCCTTCTCTCTGACCCTCCCCTGCTCACACTGTCTCTCTCTCTCTCTCTCCTAGAAATAAATACATTAAAAAAAAAAGTTTTAAATAAAAAAATAAAAAATAAAAAAATAAGAAATCTGATTTCTAGAATCAAGTTCCTCCACTAATTAGCTCTGTGACTTTGGAGAGTCAGTCCTCATTTTCTCACTATCAGTAAAGTACTTGGAAGACAGGCAGTGGCAGAAACTTTTCTGCTCTAAAGTTTCATGGTTCTTAATCTAGTCCCACAGGGGGTTTCCTGAATGATGTACCCTCATACCCTGTAGATAGAAAGTTCTGTAAAGGAAAGCAATTTCATAAATATATCGGATACCTTTGTTTTTCTGCTACTTATGGAACACCCAGTTCTACCTTCAAACTTTGCTTAAACCTCTGGTATAGAAAAGGCTATGCTATCTATAAAGATTGAGTATCAGCCATAATATCAGTTTCTTGACATTCAGAAACGTTGGTAAAAGGCCAAATAATACCTCTGTTGTTATAAATGCATCATTATATAATAATGATTTGTGTGCATATAAATTTCCCTTCCCTATATTTTTCATCCTTCTTACAGACATAATGTAATTTTTATCAAGCATAGAGAAAATATATCCTTAAATACATATCCATAATGTCATAAAATATTTTACAAATGATACTACCTAGTGTAGCAAATAAAGACAGAACAAATGAAGTAAATGGAGAAAAAAAATAATAATTTTTGTGGGGGATAGGCTTAGGAATCCCCCGGGGTTAAACCAATGGGTTATCAAGGCATAGAGAAATAAAAAGCCATTGGATGCTCACACCCGAGTTTGGGTAAACATGATTGGCACCCCGAGAATAGGATGGTGCATTGGCACCCCAAGAAAGGATGGTGCAAAGGCACTCGGAGAATAGGGGACAGCTGAACCCCCAAAAATAGAGACGGAAGGGCAAAGGCCCAAAAATAGGAACGGGTGCAAAGGCTCCCAATACAAAGGTATATGAGGTAAGCAAAATTAGGCATGCAGGACAAAGATGCCCCCCAATTTAGTACTATAGCAGAGTAACTGCTTTCACAGGAGAAAAGGGTCAGGTTAGGCCAAACAAGTAAATTGGACTATAGACCGCTGTGCTGCAGGCAAAGCAGCTCAGAGAGGAGATGGTTAACAAAAGAAAAGGTGTCTTGTTAATCCTGAGGTTATTTCCTCTATCTGTCTTCTCCCTTAGGCTAAATAAACAGACACGGCGCCTCCTATCCGCTGCCAGCAACCATCTGCCCATCTGCACCAGGTTTTGTTTTATATTATCCCAAACCCCAAACACTGTATAGACTCAACACCCAACTTTTTCCCCTCACATCCCCAGGTTAATGTTCACAGCTTTTTTGTTTCTTTGTGCATACCCATCACATTTGTAAGCCTTCTGATCTTAATAAATATGGGGCAAGGACCCTTATTAGGGACTCTTTCTTGTCTTTTCCCTGACATTAGCCATCTCTCTCTCCTATTTTTTTTAAATCCTGCATCCTGCTCTCTTGCTAAAAGAGAACTTTAGACCTAGAGTCTATGACAAATTTTAACCACATTAAATGATTACATAGCAATTAGAAAAGAAAGTGATAACAGTTTAAAGAACTCAAATTGTCTTTCATAACCAAAAGTATTCATTCTACTGAAAATGAATTCGCATTTTCTTATCAATGAGGTAGATTTTCTTTTTTTCCATTCCAAACTACAAATTGTATGAGTTTTCAACTTCTTGTTTTTTTCCAAATTCTTTAAAAATAATCTTATTTGTTTTCATTCAATATTAATGTTCGTCTTTGGACCAATGGCTTGGTTTCTTTCAATTTGACACCCAAGGCCATGCCGATGACCCACCAAATGGCTTCAGGGACTCTCAAAGTTTCCAAAAGTTACAAGCAAATTCTGCATTAAAAATAATATCTGATCTAACATAAAACTGCCCAAGGAAACTTCACTTAGGGATTGACTCTTTGGGCTGCCAGAAAATGTATCAGAACTCCTCAAGGCACTTCGATGACACTCATTAAATACCTCACAATAAAATTAGCCAGTGATGTGTTCACTGTCAACACAGGGCAAGAACCCCTGTCCAGATATCAGTGGGTTATCTGAGGGTCTGCTCTAACCTGAGTTGGCATTCTCCAGGGATTCCTATATCAAGGCTTCAGATTTTCTTCATCTTCCCATGTGCTTCAGTTAAACTTTCCCGGATAGTCAGCTTTGATTTTTGTAAAAGGCTGAAAATTGCCTCCCAAGAAGATATCCAAAGCCTGATCTCTAGAACCTTAACTGGTAAAAATTAAATTAAATTAAATTAAATTAAATTAAAATGTAAAACTTTGCAGATATGACTAAGTTAAGGATCTTCCGACGGAGAAACTATCCTTGATGACTTGAATGGGCTCTTGGCGCCATCATGAGTGTCCTGATAGAGAGAGGGAGTTTTGATACGAACAGAAGAGGTGGCCATGTGAGATTGGCCAGGGAAGCAGAGATTGGAGGGATGTGGCCACAAGCCAAGGAACACCAGCGGTCACCAGAAGCTGGAAGACGTCAGGAAGGATTCCCCCCTAGAGCCTCCAGAGAAAGTGTGGCCTTGCCCAGTAATATTGATTTTGAATTTCCAGCCTCCAGAATTGTGAAAACTGTTGTTTTAGGCCACCAAGTTTGCGGTAATGAATTACAATAGCCACAGGAACTTAATACCATTTCCAACTGGACTTTCCGTTGTTTTGCACTGACCGTGACCTCAGAAACAAACTTGGGTACGAAACGCCCCTACGAGATCTTCTATGGACGGTAACTATGCTTATTGTGCCAAGGGCTGCTCTCAAAATAGTTCTGCTTGAGAGAAACATCCATTTCTGCTGACATTAAGAAGCAATTCAGCTTGTTAAATATAGGAAAATGCAATTTTAGATTCTGCTTTCAGCAACTAGAGCTCCTTTATATGCAAATAAAATTAGCATTCCCACCCTAACTGGCCAAAATCAGTAAATAAATTAAATTCCATTTCTAATCTACTGCACAGTTATGCTATTTATTTTTGTCCAGACCAAATCCCAAAAACAGGTCTTAGAGGGGAGTTTTCAGGACAGATAAACATGTTCTCTAAAAGGTGATCAGTTTCAGACAATTTAGTAAAAACAAACCCTTTGGAAGTGGCTCTTTTCCCCCTTAACACTTCAAACCTTTACCCCTTTAAAATATATGTAATTTCTGACAAATGTAGTGTCAAACACTTTTCACGGGATTATAATATTTGTCATCATGCTAAATTGAGACCACTGTGTGATATGGTTCATTCACATAAAATTCCCATTTTAGACATGTCGGCCATGCCCAATAGCTCTGATCGCTGCTGCTACCTCCAGGCCACACAACCAATGGTCTCAGCAGCTGGATGGCCTTCCTACTGTCCTCTTGTGCTGGGACCATCAATGCATGGGCCATAGCGTGATGGAGAGTTTCCCACTTGTCCAGACATGGGGCCGACGACATCTGGGCTCTAAAATGTCGACGTTCATGGAGAACTCCCATTGTTTACATGGCCAGCATCAGTCAACTCTAAAGTGACATTCACAATAAACAAAGCATTCTTCCTCGGCATCAGCAAATGTAATTTAAAAAGAGCCCATTTTGTTATGAAGTGTGAATAAAGATTTACTGCCGGGCTGGGTTAAGCCCTTCAGGAATAAGGTCACGGGAAGCTACTGAGCTCCTGTGGTGAGCTGAATCAGCAACGAGCCCTTCCCGTGGCAGGTCCCCCTGCTCTCGCCTGAATGTTCTGCATCTGTGACTGGGAGGGGTCAGATTGGACACTGGGGACAAAGCCAGTCCTGGGTCAGCACTAATTCAGCACAGCCTGGAAGGAGAGTATAAGATTTGGGAAAATCAAGGTTAATGTGAGCTGCATATTAGGGTACTCATCTAAGCCTAAAAATGTGGGTCTATGTTGCCAAGTTACCTTTCAACTTTTGGTACCTCAGGTCTTCTGCTATAAAATTTAAATATGAGTTGAGGGGCACCTGAGTGGCTCAGTCCATTAAGCTTCTGACTGTTGGGTGCAGCTCAGGTCATGATCTCATGGTTAGTGAGTTCAAGATCCACGGAGGGCTCCGCGCTGATGGCACATAGCCTGCTTGAGATTCTCTCTCTCTCTCTCTCTGCCCCTACCCTGACCACTCTCTCTTTCAAAATTAAATAAACTTAAAAAAAATATTTAAAGATGAGTTGAACTGTGAGTAGCCTATGTACGCCCAGTGTGGAACACAGAGGTTCCCATGCACCTCTATAGTAAACTGACTGAAGCAGAATTTCTTAACGTATATTCCAGAGAAGACCTTTCCTGTGCATTGCCCCACGGAAAAAGAAAGCAGAGTTCCATCAGCAGGAGAAACACTGCATATTGAGCTCCCTGCAAAGATAAAGTAACAATGCACATTAGCATATTCAAAATCCTGAGAAGTCTTGGTGGCAGATATTTGCCTACACAACATGCTTCTCCTCTCCTTCTATACCAACAGTGACCCAATATTTGGAAAGGACGCCATGCAATCAAGCTAAAAGGTACATTTCCAGCCTCCTTTGCAGCTACGGATGGAAATTGGACACAGCTCTGGCCCAGGAAGTACATAGGGAGATCACTCATGAGAGGACTCAGATGATTAATATCACTTTCGCCCTTTGACCTTCCATTTGTTGCTTGCTGAAATGAAAATATGATGGTTGGTGCTTTGGGAGCCATCTTGAAGACATGAGGACAAAGGTCAACAGAAGAGAAAGCTATAAAAAAAAACTTGGATCCCTAAAGATACTATGAAACTTCACATCAGTCTAGACCAGCCACTTTCAAATTGGCATTGCATGAGAAAAACTAAACCCCTAATTTGGATTAAGCCTCTTTGCTCTTGGGTTGCTTAGCACACTGGTAGCCAAATGCAACACCCAGCTGATTCATCATTTGGAAACCAGCAAGCACATACTTTCAGAATGTGCATTGAGAAATGTTTCATGTGCACATTTATTGATCCTTAAACATCTTCATGGCACTCTTTGGTTTGCCTAGAGGGCTGCACTTTTGATAGCATTTGAAAAATCAGTCCATATCTTATAACTTCAGGTTTTAACTGAATAGAGCACACAAATCCTTTCGTAATTCCTCCAATGTTTACTTTCTCATAAAGTATGGCAATGCTGGCTGAAATCCCTCAGAACCCAAAGTTCAAGGGGGAACAGGATCTGTCACCTTATTAAGTTAATTATTAAAGGGTCACCCGGATGGCTCAGTCAGTTGAGTGTCCAACTTTGGCTCAGGTCATCGTCTCCTCTTGGTGAGCTCCAGCCCTGCTTTGAGCTCTGTGCTGACAGTTCAGAGACTGGATCCTGCCTTGGATTCTGTGTCTCCCTCGGTCTCTCTCTCTCTCTGCCCCTCCCCTGCTCATTCTCTCTCCTTCTCTTTCTCTCTCTCTCTATCTCTATCTCAAAAATAAATATTAAAATTTTTTAAACAAAAACAAATTGCTAAATATGTAATACAAAGGGGAACTCAGCATCTACTATTGTAGCACTTACAACAATTACGTGAAACCAGTAGCAGCAATTCTGTACTCCAAACAATATAAATATGGAATACTAAAGACAAAGACAAGTGGCTGGCGTTGTAAATCCTCAAAGGAGGAGCACCTAGAGTTTATTATTCTGCCCTAGGATACAATTGGTTCAAGAGAAGAAAATCTAGTCTAGAATTTGAGCTCTTCTTTGGAGAAGTTTAGCCATTCAAATAAAATCATTGCCAGATCTTAACCAAAACTGGCAGTAAGTCTTGAAAACAAGATCCTAGTTCGTGAGTATGTAAAATATGGTAGAAGCTTTTAATAATTGTGGGGAGATGGGCTTAGCGATGAAGATGCGTACTCTTCAGTGTTCTTCCCTTCCAGCTCCTGTGCATGTTCACGTCCCGCGGTGATGCTGTGTGATAAGCCACACCCCCCTCTTAGTGACTGCGCATGCTCATGTCCTGGGGGGATGCGTTGTGGTCGGCCACACCCCAGGAACTGGGCGGAGACTCAAGGTGAAGACAGCTCGAGTGTCCATTCACAAATACAGGTTCACAGACAACAGACAGTGTAGGGGCAGGCCTCACCTCCGCGTTTTTGTGGCTGGGACTAGAGAAGTCCAGATGTGTGGGCGTGTGCTCGTGTGGGTGGAGTGTTGGGGGATTCCTCGGGCAGCAGAATGCAAGCCCGGTTCCAGGACGCACAGGTGGACACTGTATCCGAGGGGAATAACCTCTGGTCAGTGGATGAGGAAGCAAGTGGTGTGGACCCGGCCCACAAAACTCACCCTCCTGCCATCCTACTTCCCTTCCCCATGTACTAATGGAGAGAACTCTGAGGGACTATGAACAGGTCGACCACTAAGAAAAGAGGCCTAAGTCCTTCTGATACACGGAAGGTTGCCCACCAGCCAGAAACATACCACACTGTACTTGAAGTGAGAAAAATAAACTGAATAGAATTTGTTGTGCCTGAATCACGAGTCCCCAGTGACCTCAGAAGCCAACACCGAGACAAGAAAAAAAGGGTCTTTATTACAACCTCGAGCAGGGTCTCACCCGCCTACCGACACAGCAGCAGCAGCAGGGGGGAGTCCCGAACAATAGCAGGGTTTTTAAGGGGAAGGGATGGGGGTGTTACAGTACACATGTTGTACACCAATCATATTTGTATAACACCCCGGGCAACAGCTTTGACCATTCAGTACCTGTGAGGTGTCAGTTACTTTTGGCGGAGCCCAATTATGGCCTTTTGAGACTCCTTTGAAAATGACCAATTATGAGGTGAGTTAGGCACGGGGGAGCAGCCCTTGTTTCAGCCCGCAGGAATGTTTTTTACCTCCTCTGATTGGCTAATTGGAGGAAGGTTTCGGCCTTGAACAATCTGCAGTTTTTTCCTGAGACTGCTGCTATGTGCAGCCTGAGGTTGCTTTTAATGGGGGTCTTAATTTTAAAATGGCGTTATTTAGGTTCTTCAAATTTATTTCTCACTCTTTCGAACTCCAGGTAATCTCTGGGATTCTTGCTCTTGTCCAATCCAGTATGCTTCTGTTCTGTACAGAGGCCTCCTCAGTCACAGCGGCAAGAGAAGAGAGCATGTGGAGAACGAGTCTCAACTGCAGCCCCAAAGTAACACTGATCACATCCCTCCCAACACACTGGCCAGAGCTAGTAGCATGGCCAAATCCAACTCCAAGGGGCTGGGAAATAGAGTGCTCCCATGGACTATTTGGAGAGTCTCACTGTTTCTACATCATGAATGTGGGAAAGGAGAGCTAAGAGTCAGGATGTGGGAAGGAGCATGGCAGGTTGGGGTGGGTGGGGGGAGGAACAAGAAGAAGACTTGAGCGCTGAGGACCAGGGGACAGTGCATGGGAGAGAGCAGCTGAGATTGGTGGGGTCCCAGTGGAGCAGAGCTGTGGGAACAACTCTTCTATTCTTAGAGCCCTAAAACAAAGAAGGCGCCAGGTACATGATGTAGATTTGTACTTTTAAAGAACCTTCCCCAGTCATGGCCAGTTAGGAGGCTGTTGTTTTGGGTGACTGGACTAGGGCGATGGCCCTGAGGATGGAGAGAACTTGGTGACAGAATGTGGGGAAGGAGGAGTGAGGTCACACCTGGGGTGGAGGGTCAAGAGGATGGACTCTGCAATCGACTGACCTTCACAGTACCAGAGTACCAGACCAGGGTGGGATGCCCGATGTCAAGTTCTGCATAGCAGAGTCACTTCCTAGTCCCAGAGGATGGTTTAGGCAAATGGCACCTCCATGTTCTGGGGAAAGTAACCAACCAGTTGTGCAGAGAAGTGACTTCAGAGTAGCAGTTTCTCAGATGTCTGTGCCATCTGAGGCACACCAAGAGGAATTGGACCACACGTCCTTTGCAATGTACATAGAAAGAGCTGAGCTGTTCCCCCCACCCTCCACTCCACCCCAGAGCAGTGTCTCTGCATCCTGCTCACCACACCACTTTGCGCTGAAACCGACTTAACCATCCCAGATCCCAAATCCCTTGCCAGAGCAAGACAGCAGATATAACTCCCTAGGAGCCCAAGACCGTAGTCCTTAAATTTCAGGGCACATCGTGAGAGCGTGCGTAGTCAGTCATGATTATGTCCCCGCCCTGAAAATGCTAATTCATTGGTCTGGGGTGTTGTCTGGACATGGGGATTTTTGAAGCTCCCTTTATTATGCTTCCAATGTGTGGCTGAGGAGAGCCCCTAAGCTAGGGGAAAGAAGTGGAGGCCATAGTCCATACCACTCTCCTTCCACTCAAAAAAGGCTTTTGGTTTGGAGAGTCTTGGGAGGTGGGGGAAGGAGGGTTGTTTACTTGTTTAAATCAGGATATAACTGACATATAACACTGCATAGGTTCAGGGGGGAATGTGTTGATTTAGTACATTTATAAAATCCAATATGATTATCATCATAGTGTTAGCTTAACAAAGGTTTTTAAGTCAGTTACTTGAAGGTTTGGAGTCCAGTAGTCCCAAACTGGTATACAGTAGACATTTCATCCAAAATTAGGGGTCCAATGACACCACTGAGCCCTTTCATAGAACATCCTGTCTATGAATGAGCAGTTTCTAAACAGTTCTGTGGCAGTCAGGGATCCTCATCCAGGCACCCCTTAGGAGAGAGGTTCAAATTTGCATTGCTAATGCTAATTGTATGCAAACACCCCCCTGAATTAGAACATGATGACACATAATGGGCTACCAGCAAATGCCTCTGGCTGTCCTAATTAGTCTAGAATAAATCAGCCCTTCTGTTTTTATCTCATTTCGGGGCTTGTTGGTACGAATAATCATCGAAGTTTCTAGTCAGGCATTCATATTAATGGATTTTCAGGATAACATTCAATTTAGAAGATAGTTAGTAGCAGACAGCCAGCAACCTTGCTAATAAATGCACAGAGTTCCCAAAGAACTGGATAGCCCTGATTCTATGGTCAAGGTACAATGCCCGCCAGCCTATGAATTAATGATAATCACACAACTGTGCTGGGGCAAGTGGAGGAATCAATCAGCCAGCAGGGTGTGGAAACAAAGAGGGGAAGGAAGATTTGGATATTTGGTGCAGTTATTAAGAGCTGTTAAATTTCTGTTTTATAGTCTGGGGACACATTTTGTAAATACGTCATTTGTATGTTATTTGCCTTAACACTGCAGGTAGACACCTCGCTGTACTATTATGTGAGTCAAAAGGACTCACACTGAGAGGCCATGATGAAAATATGGCACCGACAGACACATCTGGTTCCCTCCACGTTTATGTAAGGACTGGTTCAAGTTAGAGCCAGACCTTTGAAAACCACCTAACCTCGCCCACTTACTTCATCCTTAGTATCAGCAAAGGGTAGGTTCTCAACGCAGGCGTTAAAGGCGTGAACGTGTTAGGGATTGAATACCTGCCAGATGGTACTTGAATTTCAAACTAGGGAAGGATTTGATTTGTTATGACTGAATCATGAACCCTGGTTGGTTCCTTCTGACTTTGATTAACCCAAATAATAAGAGCCATGATAATATTCGTAACTCCATTCAATGGCTGCTTACCACCTGCATTTGTGTTCCTGAGCTCTGCTTACAGAGCTTGTGGGATCAGAGAAGCAGTGAGAGGGATGGGCTCGAGAGTCTATGTGGCTTCAGAGCCTGTGTCCCTGCTCCCGAATGTTGTAGAGGCAGCATGCACCTGACCCCATCCCGCTCCTTGTTATGACTGGATGGGGTCAGCTCTCACTGCCCCCCAGGACCCCATGGAAGGCCGCACCACCTAGCACCTCCCGCCTTCCCTCTTCTGGCAGCTGCTCTCCCCCACCGGCCCCTGCAGTCCAGCCACGCACACTGGTGATGCAGGTGCATGAGTCTGTGTGACTGTCCGACTGACTCAGATGAGGTGAGACACACAGAGGGATTGTTCGTGCTACTCTGTGAACTTGACATCAGTTTAAAGCAGAGCAGAAAACTTTTAGACGGAAGGAGGGCTAAGAATGTGCATATATTAGGGACGCCTGGGTGACTCAGTCAGTTGAGCGTCTGACTCCTGATTTTAGCTCAAGTCATGATCCCAGGGTTGTGGGATCAGGCTCCACGCTGAGGGTGAAGCCTGCTTGGGATTCTTTCTCCCTCTCCTTCTGCCCCTTCTCCCGACCTCTCTCTCTAAAAAAAATAAAAATAAAAGGAATATGGATATATTAAAGAAACACACTGAAAACAAATAAATAAAATTCACCCGGTAGAGCTAAAAAGCCTAACCGAAAACTCAGTTTTTCTAAGACCACCTTCAAGTGTGAGTTATCAACTCAAACCCACTAGAGAGGCCCATCATGGGGTAAGCAAGGGGCCAAGCCATACCTGCTCTAAGATCTAGTCCATTTCATGGTCTCCAAGAACCCTGGCTTTAATGCTTTGCTACAGACTTTCATGTTATGAAGTTAATAAATGGGTGCCTGGATTTTAAAATAATATATCTTTTTTAAAACCTTGGAGAATGACTCTGTTGACTGATTACTCAGAGAAACCCTGGTGGCTCATTCCTTCCTAACTTACCCTGCTGACAGCTAAGATTTGTGAGAAGTACCCGAAAAGAAAAGTTCCAAAGCAACAACATGAGTCTTAATTCACAATTCACAGTTCAAAGGGGGGGGGGGGGGGAAGGCTAATGAATGGACAAGGCTTGATTAATGTGTGTGAATATACACTAAGGGCAACGACCCTCATGGTTATCATTTGAAGGGTTCAGAAAGGCCAACGTGCCCATGATATCTCACCATCTAGCCACATAGAGGCTGGAGTACTTACCCCGGACTTGAGTTCGAAGATATGCCTCTAACCAAGTCCTGGCATTATGGGAGAAATAGCAGACTAACCAGCTAACATATTAGCAAGGACCCACTCATTTGGTTAGTCTAGTCTACCTTCTGGCTCCTACCAGAGATCAGAGTCTGGAAGAGACAAATGCAAAGAGTGAGGAAAGGTTGTAGGGACACTCTCAGGCCCCAGGACCCTCTCTGCGTGCAAGGCTGTGATGGGCACTTTACCCTGGATGGAGCAGAGCAGACAGACAGCTGGGGGGCTCCTAGGGAGGGTGGAGTACAACCATCAAAGACAGCTTTCTCAGGGCGCCTAAGGGGCTCAGTCGGTTAAGCATCGATGCTTGACATTGGCTCAGGTCCTGATCTCACAGTCTTGAGAGGGAGCCCCACATTGGGCTCCACACTGACAGCGCAGAGCCTGCTTGGGATTCTCTCTCTCTCGCTCTCTCTGCCCCTCCCTGCTGGGAGCCGCACCAGCCTCTCTGGATGGCAGTCACAGCAAGGAAATGGCAATGTTTGCACAGCTTCTGCCATGAGAAATGAAGACTAGTATCTCCTTCTGCTACTACTGGCTCATGTTGGAAATGAGCCTGCTGGTATTGACCAGGCCTCACAATATTCCATATCAAACCCATATTCTGAACACAGTTACCTCATAGGAAAAGCATATTCCTGCCTTTACAGAGGAGATTTTAGATAAGAGCTCTGTGGATCATTGTCAAAAGTTCTTCCTATGGGCCTTGCAGATCCAAGACTTAGATAATAAAGGGGGTTAAGAACACAAGCGTTACTATTGAGCCTGGTCCCATATCAGAAGAGCCTAATTTATAGTTAAGGTACAGATAAGTACCGAACATAACTTACTAATTGGTGATGTATGGCAGTCCCTTCCTCAGGGCCTACATTCCACAGACACCCTCCCTTACACTGGCAGCTGGGATGAGGATAGATAAGAGTAATTAAAACATAAACCCAGATGCAAAGACTGATACATATAGAGCCCCCTTGGTAGTTTCCACAAACTAACCAATTCAGAATCATTCATCCTCTTGAGAGCCAGACAGAATGACTCTTAACTTATCTATATACAATGTAACCTATATGTTATCCTGTCTTTCACTAAGAGCATCCTGTTATTTCCTTGGTAGTAAATTCACCATGACTGGGATAATTCTGCAATTGATATCACAAAAGACCTCTCATTGTAAGAAATTCCTTTTCTCTGACCTCATATGGTTGTTGAACCTTTAAGTAAAGACACCAAAACCGACGGGACAGAGATGCCTGCCTGGTGATCAGAAAGAATCTCGGAGCTCTCTCATTCTCTCTCGCCGACACCATCCATCCTTCAGGGACCCCTGGACCTGTTGGAGCCGGC